AAGTAAACGATTATTTTAATCAAATAAATTTTTTTCTCAGTGTGTAAATGTATTAGAGTAGCTCACTTTTCACCCATTCAGATTAAGAGAGTTGATATTATTAAAAAAAAAAAATTGATAATAATTAATATTAATTATTATAAATTAATAATTATTGACATTAGTTAACCATTGATATACATAAATAATTAATAATAATTTATATTAATTAACAATTTATATAAATTAAAAATTAATAATAATGTATATTAATTAACAAATTTATATTAACAATTATTATTATTAATAAATAATAAACGTTAATTATTGATATTAATTAATAATTAATAATAATTTATATTAATTACTATCTAAAAGTTGATATTAATTAAAAATTGATATTAATAATTGTTATTTACTGAGAAAATTAAAAGGTATTAAAATAATAAGCGTTGCAGCTTATTTTAATGCCTTTTAATTTTCTGTGTATATTAATAATTGACATTAACAATTGTTATTCAATAATAATTGACATTCAATAATAATTTTTAAGAAATTATATTAATTAACAATTAAATTTAATGATTGATATTAATTAATAATAATTGATAGTAATAAACAATTGATGTTAATAATTGATATTAATTATATAATATTCAATAATAATTTCTATATTTAATAACTAATATACATTAATATAAAATATTATTAATTAATAATTGATATGAATTAATAATAATAATTATTATAATAATTATTAATTAATAATATTTTATATTATTATTAATACCAGATATCCTAGGATATTCCAAAAACATCCCTTGGATATCCTAGGGATATCCTAAGGATACTTTAAGGATATCCAAAGTAGCGGCGGTTAGGATATCTTAGGGATATCCCAGGGATATCTAAGGATGTCCCTAGGACGTCCCAGGGATATCCTAATCATTTCCTCGGATATTATTAGGATATCCTCAGGACGTCCTAAGGATATCCCAAGGATATCCCTGGAATAATTAGGGATGTCCTTAGGACGTTCTAAGGATATCCACAGTATGACTATATTATCTTAAGGGTTAGAATATCCTTGAGTCGTTCTAAAAATGTCCCTAAGATATCCATAAAACGACCCTAACATATACAAAATAATTAAATAAAAATGGAAAACATATTTTTTGGATGTATTTATAATGTATTTCCAAGATATCTAAAATGATTTACCTTGTCTACAAGAATTCTTTTTTCTACTTTTTCTTTAAAAAATCTCTTGAAACCAACTCAAGCGCTAACTATATTTGTATCGAAAAATCGCTATCTCAAATAGTCAAAATTTGAATCATAATGATATCCTAGGGAGATCTTAGCGGTATTTCTAAAATATTTTAACGATATACCAAGTTTATCCCAAGAATATCCCCACGATATCACTAGGATATCCCAGGGATATCCCTAAAATATCCTCAGTATATCCCCAGGTTATCCCAAAAAATATCCTACGTAACGGCGATTTGGATGTTCTGTAGGATATCCTAGAATATCATATGGACGTTTTCAGGATATCCTACATTAGTTTAGGATATCCTGAGGATATCCTTTTGTTGTGAGGGTATATTTTATGTTAATTAATAGTTGCTTTTTATTATAAATAAATAAATATAAATTATAATTTTGAAAAAAAAAATCCATCTCTCTGGGGGAAAGTGTTTGGAAATTTGTTTATATGATTCCTCGCGGGGACAAGAATGAAATAGAGTGATTATTATTATATAGGCGTGCGTGTGCTCTACTTTCACGCGATGTAATTAGCGTATATACTAGATGCTCCTGTAGGGCTTCTTTCAAGAAGCTAGTTTGTTTACTGCTCAATGTTTGCGATTACTTCTGGCAATATTCTACTCCCATATAATACTTATTTTGTTATACTATATATATGCTCTAAAGGAATTCATCGCGTAAAGCTTGCTTTGCCAATCTAAAGGCACGCAAATCATTCCCCTAATGATGCTTTTCTTGATTAAGCTAATGGGATTATAACGAGAGGTTTCCTGGGTAATGCAAGAACTCTTTTGCGCTGAGGAACAAAAAAAAAAAAAAAAAAAAAATTGCAAGTAATTGATAATACTGATGTGGTCCTTTTTCCTCTCTCTCTCTCTCTCTTTATATATATGGGGGAATTGAGAAAAATTCAAATAATCGGTTATACTTGACTTATCAAATAAATATTTACTTGAGGTAAATAATTTTTTTATTTAAATAAATCAATAAAATTTTTTTTTTGCATTTTTATTTGAAACAGATAAAAAAATTGAATCAAATAGAAATATATTTGTAACCTTTTACTTGTTTCAAATAAAAAAATTTAATTTAGCTCAAAAATTTTTTTTTTTTAGTGCAAATAAATTAAAATTTTTAATCTTGCAAAAAAATCAAGATTATATTACGTTTCACGGTCAAAAATGTATAATACGCGTGGGCGACTTCCGTAGGCAATTTTTTTTTTTGTCTTCGTCTATTCAATATATATATATATATATATATAGGAGAGAGGTTTTTTGGACGAGAATCGAGATTTGTCGCCTTATCCTTGTCCTCCATCGTTCATGTATATATGCGGCGATTTCATGGTAACTCGATATATATATATATATATATAGGATATAGTAGCAAAGCCAGGACCATAAACCATATGGTGCAGAATAATAATATATATGTATAAGAGCGACAGATCCTTACAAAGATAAGTCTTATACCGATTTATATTGGCGTGATTGTAATTTACTGCGTCTACAACTAATACTACTACTACTTCTATACTCTCTTATTTAAATTGAGTAAAAAAAAAAAAAAAAAAAAAATTTTTTTGTCCATCCAATTACTTTTTTAGATTTTTCGTCAATTAATTAATGTAAGGGAAATTACAATTTTTCATATAGTAAATAAAAGTAATAATAATAATAATAAAAATAAAATATAATTATTAATATAATATAATTTTTTTTCCTAAAAAAATATTTTTTTTTTTTAATATGTTGAAAGAAGACTTCGTGGTGGGTAGAAGCTTTGGTGGGATAGATGGGATAAGAAGGGATGTGGAGAGGGGTCAAGACAACGAGGAGACGACGTGTAGTAGTAGTAGTAGTAGTAGTAGTATTTCCTTGGAGAGATGAGGGCATCGGCCTGACCGTGACCTAGCCACCGCTCCGTACTCCACGCGTCTCTTCTCGCAGTTTTCGTATACCATACATTTTACGTCTTATATAAATATATGTATACATATATACAGATTTTTTCACTTTTCCGCGTAAATTTTGCCAAAAAAAAAACAAGAAAAACATTTTCTAAGGGAACAACATTTTTTTCTGACAAATTAGGGGTTTTTTTTTTCTATACAGAGAGTAAAAAGTGTGCCTGGCACACAGATGCTACGAATTTGTTTTTTGTCTTTCTACTTTAAGTAGAAAACGCCTTTCTGAGTCAGACAGAATTTAAAATACATTTAAATCAGGCGGGAACTCGTCTGACGAGTAAATGTGTTTTCTACTTGAAGTAGAAAAATAAATTCGGTACTGGAAGTAGATTTTTTTATTACTTAAAGTAGAAAAGATTTTCCAAAGTAGAAATATTTATTTTCTACTTGAAGTAGAAATATAAATTCGTTACTGGAAGTAGAATTTTTTTTACTTAAAGTAGAAAAGATTTTTCCAAAGTAGAAATATTTTTTTACTTAAAGTAGAAAATACTTTCTATAGTCAAAGTAGAAATATTTATTTTCCACTTAAAGTAGAAAATACTTTCTATAGTCAAAGTAGAAATATTTATTTTACTTAAAGTAGAAAATATTTGTTATAGTCAAAGTAGAAATATTTATTTTCCACTTAAAGTAGAAAATACTTTCTATAGTCAAAGTAGAAATATTTTTTTTTACTTAAAGTAGAAAAGATTTTTACAAAGTAGAAATATTTATTTTCCACTTAAAGTAGAAAATACTTTCTATAATCAAAGTAGAAATATTTTTTTACTATTAATGTAGAAAATATTTGTTATAGTCAAAGTAGAAATATTTATTTTCCACTTAAAGTAGAAAATACTTTCTACACTGAAAAAAATCTTCACCTTGAAGAGCGATAAGTTTCACTGAAACAGCAATAGGTTTCACTTAAACAGCGATATATTTCTCGAAAACAGCAAAACTTTTCGCTATTTTAGAGAAACAAATCGCTTCTCCAGATAAAGATTTTTTTCCGTATAGTCAAAGTAGAAATATTTTCCACTTTTGATGTAGAAATATTTTGTTTTAGTTAAAGTAGAAATAGTAAATATTATGTAATAATAATATTATAATATAATATATTTTTCTACTTAGATTAAAAAAAATTTTCTAATTAGAGTAGAAAAATATTTTTAAAATAGCAATATTTTATTTTACTTAAACTATAGAAATAATTTCCACTCCTTATCAGCAGTAGGTGAAAATAATAATTAATAAGAAAGTGGAAATTAGAATAAAGTTTTGAGGTTTTTTTTTTTTTTTTTTTTCTTTAATTAAAACGAGCGTGTGAGGGTTAATGAAGAAACGGATACTCTCATGTGAAATGATCACGACACTGTTAGACATTTATGAGCACCATCATCTCTCAACGCTGAACATGTTTAGCAACCAACGACTATTCGTTTAAGCCATCAAACATTCTGCACGTTTACATTTTAACCTACCCTTATATATATTATGCGCTTACATTTTCATTTGCATACATATACATATAGCCATAAGAGAGAGAGAGAGAGAGAGAGAGAGAGAGAGAGAGAGAGAGAGAAAGAAAAAGATCCTAATAAGCAACGATCAGTTTTCTTCGCTTTTATATGCACACATTATTTTCTCTTCTCCTCTATATATATACTCTTCTTAATGGGAAATTAAAACCAAAAGGGAAAGTAATATTAAATACAATTTTTTTTAATGTACCTATATAATGTATGTGATAAAATATTATGTATTCAATCAAGTCTTTTGTTTGTTTCAGGTGAGCTTTCATTATCGATGTGTAATTAACTGAAACTTCGGGTGAGATTTCATCTTTTTTTTATTATTATTTACTTAAATGTTACTAATTAGTACTTATTAGTTTTTTATTATTACTAATTAGTACTTACTAGTTTTTTTTATTATTAATAATTAGTACTTATTAGTTTTTTATTATTACTAATTAGTACTTACTAGTTTTTTATTATTATTACTAATTAGTACTTATTAGTTTTTTATTATTACTAATTAGTACTTACTAGTTTTTTTTATTATTACTAATTAGTACTTAATAGTTTTTTATTATTAATTATTACTGATTATTAATAACTGTTATTACTATTTGTATAATTAGTACTAATTATTATATTAATTAGTACTTATTGATTTTTATTATAAATAATTAGTACTTATTATTACCGATAATTACTAATTAGTACTTACTAGCCCTTTTAAATAGTACTTATTGGTTTTTTATTATAACTAATTAGTACTTATTATTACTGATTATTACTAATTAGTACTTATTAGCTTTTTTATTACAACTAATTAGTACTTATTATTTCTGATTATTACTAATTAGTACTTATTATTACTAATTAATACTTACTAGTATAACTAATAGTATAACTAATAGGTGAAAAATAATTTTAGATAATAATTTTTATCACAAAAAATAATAATTGATATTTTCAATATTATCTAATAGGAAAATTGTAGACATATATGCATATTTTTTTTTTTTTTTTAATTAAAAAAACAAGATAAATAGGCTTTTTTATCTCTCGACCCTGAAAGGACACGACACTCGGAGACTGATAACAACACACTCGGCACTTCCGGTATTTCCATTGTCTCTGTGATTTCGCGTGCGGGTGTGACCATATTTGCAAAGTCGATCGTAGGCGCAGCAAATGAAATGCCATAAATTTAAGAGCGAACCAGTTGTATATATATATATATATATATATATGTATGGTGATTCGTTTATTTCGTTTTTCGTTGATGGAAACTAAACGTATGTCACGATAAAATGCCACAAGATTTTATATGGTACATAAAGCGATAACTTTATATACACACACGTCGACCAGTTTCATGAATATACTTTGCAATGTTAGCCGTCAAAACTGTGTCATGGTGTTTTACGGTCATTGAGTATTCAATATTTAAAAGTTTATATCTATGCTCATCCACTCGATAGATTTTGATCCTAAATTTAGATTAAGTGCATCAGGATTTCCATTTAAAAAATTTCAAATACCTGGAATTATCGTGGAAAATCATAGAAAATCATAAAATCATGTAATTTTTGTTTTATAACTAAAAAAATTATTGAAAATTCGTTTAATAATTCAAATTAGTAGAATAATTAATAATAATTTAAAAATTACTAGTATTTACTAGTATTTACTAGTTTTTAGTAAAATTTCCTATTTGATTTAGTAATTTTTTTTTACTAAAGTTTTAGTGAATAATTAGTAGAAATTTTTACTGGTTTTTAGTTAAATTTTACTATTTGATTTAGTAATTTTTTTTACTAAAGTTTTAGTGAATAATTAGTACAAATTTTTACTAGTTTTTAGTTAAATTTTACCATTTGATTTAGTAATTTCTTTTACTAATATATTAGTAGAAACTTAGGTTATTGGTAGTTTTTAGTAGAAATAAATTAGTAGAAACTTTCATTAATTTTTATTAAAATATTCGGTACTATTTTCTATACGAAAAATTACTAAAAACTTAAGTTTCTACTAAAACGTTAGCAAAAACAATTACTAAATCAAATAGTTTTTAGTAGAAATAAATTAGTAGAAACTTTCGTTAATTTTTAGTAAAATATTTGTTTCTATTTTCTATACGAAAAATTACTAAAAACTTAAGTTTCTACTAAAACGTTAACAAAAACAATTACTAAATTAAATAGTTTTTAGTAGAAATGTCAACTAATTTTTAAGTATAATTTTTTTTCTTTTGAATTAGTAATTTTTGTTTTACTAATGTTTTAGTAGAAATTTAAATTTTTAGTTGGAATTTCCCCTAATTTATAGTTAAATATTACTATTTAATTTAGTAATAATATTTTTTACCAATAATTTTAGTGAAAAATGACTAAAAATTAGTAAATATTTTCACAAATTTTTAGTAAAATACTATAATTTCATTGAGTAATATTTTATTATACTAAAAAAAAATTAGTAGAAATTTCTACAAATTGTTTAGTAAAAATTACTATTTAATTTAGTAATATTTTTGTAACTAAATTTTTTAGTGAAAAAAAATTAAAAATTATAATAGAAATTTTCGCTTGTTGATTTGATTTAGTAATATTTAAATTTAAATTTGAAATTTAAAAACAAAAATGCGCGAAAACAGGATGCGTTAGTTTGACGTTTTATTTATTGAGATTAAAATATTTTTGTGTATACATTGAATTTTTTTTTTTTTGCAAAGCTGTTTCCTGTAAAATTGTCAAATAATTCAACTGCCACACATTTTTATACGCACTATTGAGAAATAAACGATCGTTGACTGACATACAACGTTTTATGTACTATATATATATATAGTCTTGTAAAAATAAACTTTTCTAACGAAAATAAAATATGACCGTGAATTTTGATTATAATTCGCGAATTTACGAATGATTTTGGACCTTGAAAAAAATGTTTACTAAAATATTTTCGAACAAATTTCTTCTCATTTAATAAAAATAAATTAAATTAATAAAGAAATAAAAAATAAATGTTTGACATTAAAAATATTTTATAAATATATATATATATATATATATCGAAGGGAGAAAATTGTTTTTCTTTTTATCAATTTACAATCATTTTATTTATCATCATTAGTAAAATATCAATTTCTAATCACGAGCGGACATTTTTTTTTTTTTTAAATACAGTGATAAAAATCCTTGTGAGATTATTACTGAACTTTAAAAAGTATACTCATTAACTTAGCTCGTCTCTCGGCGGCAAATATCGTGATCGTGAGGAACTCGTTCTTCTATCTCTTTTTTTTTTTATTGTAAATTCCTAACTATATAGCAAAATGTACATATACAGAAGCATTTCAATTTAGTTGGATATTATTGATCCACCTTTTGGTATATTTACTAAATAAGGCTGTTTACATATTAAATAAATAAAACAAAATTAATTAATTAAGAAAAAAATTAAATTAACTAATAGAAAAAATAAATTAACTAATGAAAAATAAATTAACTAATAAAAAAGTAAATTAATTAATAAAAAAATAAATTAATTAATAAAAAAAGTAAATTAAACTAATAAAAAAAATAAATTAACTATAAATATATAAAAATAAATTTAAAAAAATCAAAAATTGTTAATTTAACTGGTTCAATTTAAATAATCTTGGTAGTTAAAATTTTAATTAAATAATATTCAAAAAAAAAATTGTCATATCGTTTCCTTGCATATTTTAAGACTATTTATAATTAATTATGGAATGCGCTTATAAATTTTATGACATTAATAACAATGTCTTATTCAAATGTGACAATAATTTAAATAATAATAATAATAATAATAAATAATAAAAATATAATAACAAATATATAATAAAAATTGTAATTATTACATCTTTTTTAAAGTTTAAAAAAAATTGATCGCTTAACAGTTTATAAATATAGAATCATGAACCAAGGTTATTATATATGAAAAAAAATTTTGTTTTCAATATTCCTTTTTTTACGCCTCATTTTCTCATCTTTAATTTGCAATGAGGGGGCGTATTTTCGCAAACCCACGAGATTGCATTTTTTTTGTTTTGCGAAGTGGTTTTCAAATATTTTCAAGTTATACATATATGTATATTCCCTCTCACGATCGATCGATTTTGGTTTGAAAAAAGTGATTTTTTTTTCTCACATATATGTAATTGACTCCCAGAGTTAAACTTAAATTACATACATTATATATAAAATTTGCGATAAATATATGCAACTTTGTTAAAATTCTTTTATGGAACATATTTTAATGTTTCATCTTCACATAATAATACATGAAACAATATATTGTGCATAATAATAATTTTTAATAATTATATAATTTTTTCATTTTTTTTTTTTTATTATCTTTATCATTATTTTATTATTATTATTACAATTATTATTATTTTTTTAACATAATTAGTTATGTTAATTGGTCCTTAATGTAATAAAATATTCGTTATAATTATTATTTTTATTATTATTATTTTTAATATTTTTACTATTTTTACTATTATTATTATTTAATAATTTTTTTTAATTATTTTTATTTTTTATTATTTATTTTTATAATGATTTTGATATTAGGAATGATATATTTGTCTCACAGCCTAATAAATATTTATTTGATTTAAATAAAAAAATTTATTTACGACAAATATAAGTAGGCTAATATGCTGTGTGAGACAAATATACGTTTATTTGAATCAAATATATTAAATTTGGTTCAAATACTCTCTAAATCTGAATTAGTAAAAATGTTTACTAATTGAAATTAGTGACTCACTTTTTGCTTTAGAATTAGTTAAATTTTACTAATTGTTAGTAAAACTTACTAATAATTAGTAAAATTTTACTAATTGAACTAGTTTACTAATTGAAATTAGTGACTCACTTTTTGCTTTAGAATTAGTTAAATTTAACTAATTGTTAGTAAAACTTACTAATAATTAGTAAAATTTTACTAATTCAGAAGCAAAAAGTGAGTTACTACTTCAAATTAGTAAACATTTTTACTAATTCAGATTTAGAGAATAAAACATTTCTCTGAGTGTATGAAAGGACTTGGGCCCGCATTTAATATTAAATAAATAATTATTATACTGTCGTCAAAACAAAAAAAAAAAACAAAAAAGAAAATTATATTAAAATGAAGAGAAAAGGGATTTAAATTTTGTGTCTCATCGCGTTAATGATGTTCGATGTATTTATAGCATTATATTGAAAACCGTTACGAATTATATGGGAATAAATTTATGCAATGAACCTTTTCTGTCCATCATGAAGAGTGCCAAGAGTCGGTT